GAGTGTGCGTGAACATGAGGACCTCTTACTCTAAGCTTCGCAGGAATCTTACGCAATGATGCAGCAGATTATGGGTGGTACTAAGTCTACATGGATGGCCTTATTGTAGGGCTGCTGTCGAGACGAATACCATTGACATAAGGGCGAATGACAAGGCTAAGGTTAGGGTTGATGTTGTTTGGAATCCGGATTCAATTGACGATCCTCGTCAATATGTTGGTGTCTACAAGTAGCATGTGCATATACACACACACACATAAATGTACATACACGCATACGGGCAAGTCCGACAACAAATCCGAGATGATCATATGCTACAATGGAGGTAAACAGATAAATGCTGGTATCATCCCTAAAACTCTACGGGGCGTCATTTGGGAAACGCCAGAGTGATGACAGCAAGGATCGTGGCTCTTAGTGGGTCTCGTTTTGTGTAGTTTAATATTTGCATGAATGTGACGGCTACCGTTGAAGTAAATGTTAGGCAAGTAGACAGGTTACTTGTATTCATCTTAACAGTAAACAGTATAAGGGATGCCATGACTTTTAACTTCGGGGACTTGAATGCTCTGCTAGGGATCCCAGGGCTAGATCTGGATGAGTAAACCCTGTTGATGAGGCCAATGGTGGGGGGGGGTTCTCCTAAAGCCAGTGTTTGGGTTGCTGTTGGAAGAAGTATCCTGTAGTACGAAAGTTACCAATGCGAACAGATTTGCGAGTAAAGTCCATCTTGGAGTCATATCCAATATCGGGGTTGCCAAAACGACTGCGACATCCTTACTATCGGGGGGTCATCTGGCTGATGTATGGCATTATATTAACCTTCAGGTCGATATGGGAGTTAAAAAGGGAATGTATAATGGGGTTCAGTCGACATAGCATTTTCATCCATGTGAACTGAGACATGAATCTATGACGACTCTCTTTGGGGTGAACATGAAATAGAAGACTCCCGTCACCATTGGGGCCAATGTAAGGTCTAATGGCAGGGTTAGACTTCGGGATACTGTTTTTTTTTAGGAATAGGACTCTGTCAAGGCCCACGGTCATTCATACGTATTGCTGGGGCTTTGATCTGAAACTACAGTGAAGGCTACCTTGACAGAAATGACTTTCGTCGTTGGACCGTTGGAGCAATCATCTCTCGGAATGTCTGTGTGAAGGGTCGCAAGAATTCACAATGAAAGCCTGTGCCGATATGCCTATGCTGCCTCCTCGGAACTTCAACACCTAACGTTAAACCTGGTTCATACACGAGAAACCTAAACGTAGGAGATTAGTGGCGATATCTGTCGTTCTTGGGGGTTTGCATATATCTACATATACACGGCTATGTATGTAATGTAATGTAATGTAATGTAATGCAATGGTATGGTATGGCATGGCATGGCATGGCATGGCATGGCATGGCATGGCATGGCATGGCATGGCATGGCATGGTATGGTATGGTATGGTATGGTATGGTATGTGTGTGTATATACACACACACATACATATGTACACACCTTAACACACCGAAACATTGTTGTCTTATCCTGTCTAATCTTGTCCTGTCCCGCCCTTTGTACTGTGGTGCTGTCCGGGGCTACGAGATTAGTTCGTTCGTGGGATGGCGATGCGGAGCCAGAGAGCTGCGAAAGGTCCGATTTCGAAGGATGGGGTGAAGACGTGGGTCTGATCAGAGGCTTCAGGATATGGTTCTGCAACAAGTTTCCCTGCTGTAGGGATGACACCGTCTTCGCGGTTTCCGAAATTTTCTGCATGGTCACAGCACTGAAATTTCAAGTCCTGAACAATAAACGAAACCTCGATTCAACCCGAAAGCCATCCACTGCCAGATCTGAAGAAACCCCTTATTGCAGTCCAAGAGCTCTGTAGGGGAAAGGGCGATCCAGGAGCAAAGCAAAGGAAGCCCGGCGGCAGCAAATGCTGTTTGACCACCACCTCGACAGTCTTCAACGATTTAGGAAGTGAGAGGCTGTTGAGGACACAGTCTTAGTCTTGGGTCTTCTCATAAATCCGAGCCGGCGACACCCGTTCGAAATTGCCGTCTTGGGGCTAGCACACAACACACTTACAATCGGTTCCATACAGAACATTCGGGATTCGGCATTCACTTCCAGAAGGTAATTTAGTTCAGAAGCCCCTGAACGGGCCCTGTATGCATAGCTGCCTCAATTGTTTAGCACATCGGGGCACAGACCAGGTTCCACCACAGCTCCGTCCGAGGTCCAGAGTGTGCCAGCGAGGCGAAACTCAGCGTAACACCTGTCATCAAGCTTTGACGGCGCTTAGAACTGGCTTAGGCATGCAAGTTGTGAAGGTTCCTAGCCTTCGGTTACCTGCTCAGCGCCCAGAACTGCGAACCAAGGAAAAACTCTGAGACTCAAGCAGGCCCTGTCTATCCCGTCCCATCATAAACATCCCCCTGTGGTTGCTGACTTCGAGAGAATGTTCCCCTGGATCGCCGAGAAACACAGCTCGGAGCCGAACTGAGCAGTGTCCCGAACGGTCTCCAGCCATGTGGCTCGGGTGCGACGCACCAACCTTTTCCAATCAGGACTTTTGGGGATTTAGGCTATGACCTCAGAATGGCAAAATGCAGAATGGCTAGAACAGGTAAACCTGTGCCATCACAGGGCTTGAGGATGTTTCGGGAGGGGGCTTCTGCGTCAATTCCTCGTCCTCTATGTTGCTGGCGAGGACTTGCAGGTCAACATTTGCAACGGTTAGGGCACAGGAGAGCTATCCAGACATCTCGACTGAGACAAAACGACAAAAGGCTCTCATGTCCGCGACGTTACGACGGCCAAGCAACTTGGGCGATGCTGTGGATCCAGAGGTCACGAAGAAAGTGAAAAGGACATCCTTGTCTTGCCCCATCCAAGCGTCGTCATCAGAGGCTATCGCAGCATCACTCTCTGGCCTTTTGTCAATGACAACGCACATGTCTTCCCCAAGAAGATGCAAAATATCCAGCCTTTGGTTAGGACCTGCTACAACAACAGAGCACATGCCCAGGAGTGCAGCGGCCAAGTCTGCAGCGACTAGCTCAACACAGCTGCATTCAAACGATATCACAGCGAAACGGTGCCGGTGGAGCCGTAGAAAAAAAACAAATTGGTAGACCGTCTTCATAACTTCCGCAAAAGTCGCCCAGTGCCACTCCACGGTCTGCCCCTCCGCCCTGGGCAGGCCTATGCAAGGCCTATCTGCGTAGGCCATCAGAACAGATTGCACCAAACGGCTCAAGCTATCCTCGCAAATCTCTGCCGCTGTCTCCTGGCAATCCTGCTCGTGACTATCATGCTTTGGACCGGGTTCTCGTGGAGTGGAGTCCACGCCAGATCGCCCCTGTTGCGAACTGTGAAGCATCATGGCTGCGCAGCATGCCCACCCGAGAACCCGTTCGGTGTGTAGTGGCAATGAGTGTTAAGCTACAGTCCTCGTGCTGAAGGCTGCGGTCATGCGCCCCCCTCGGTGGCTTCATGCTCACTATGTAACACACAAACCAAGACGCACTGCCATAAACACACAATTTCGCGACATGATGCCTACAGGGGGGCTTGGCGACTCGGGCTGCTGTCGTACAGTACAGGCCATTAAATCGCCGTCTCAACATGTTACACATTCGGCAAATTAGGCCTGGACGGCCCGGGTGCAGAAAAATGCGGGCATTACCTCAACCTCATTAACGAGAGCAGAAACAGAGTAGTTGATTTTTGCTATTAGCCAAGATCATCATCATCATCAGCATCACCANNACCACGACCACGACCACGACCATCACTCGTCATCTATATGAATCTATATATGACTAACAAGGTGTGCATCACGATCAGCCGCAGCACAACCACAAACAATAGCCAGCACAGCAGGGCAAGGCATCCAGCACCACTATCAGAAGCAACATATTGACTATGACAATCATCCCGAAGCTTCAGGTCCAACGTCTCTTCCTCGTGACTGGTACTAGTACGCGTACTCGTACTTACCACTACTGCTATTATTATTGTTACTACTACTACTACTACTACTACTACTCCTACTCCTACGCCTACTCCTACTCCTACTCCTACTCCTACTACTACTACTACT